GGAGCTTTGAACCAGGTCAGTGTCGGGAATGGCACACCTTTAATTTTGGCCACAATGTTAACGTCGGTTCCTTCTCCAACCTCCATGAATTCTTTTAGCTCAATTGATGGTGGGCCTGGATTATTTAAAAGAAAAAATAGGTGGTCACTAGTGACAGAAAGTAGAATTTACAGTGCCTATAAAGCTATCTGTATCTACTGTAGGCAGGCTTCATAGCCCAGCCCAATATAAAGAACAGATTTGACTTTATACCAGTTTGGAGAGCAGGTATATGTAGTCATCATCCTTTATTGGACCTACATGTGGCTATGTAATCAGCTATTGCCTCTCTCTTACCTGGTGTTTTTACTGCATGTAGATACTGAAAAAGGGCAGAGAGAAGTGAAGATTGTAGTAGCTTAGGCTTAGGAGTTCTTTCATGTATTCCCATTAATATATATGCATATTTCCTTAAATATGCAGAGTTATGAGAAGACTTCCTATTTTTATTCTGAGAGAACTCCCTTTCTAAGAAATATAACTGCTAGTAGAGGCAAAGCAACTTTCCCTTTTTCCATGAATCTAGTAGAAGAATATGCAAAGAGGGTAGTGACTACAACCCTCCCAATTTTAGAAGAACTGAACAAACACACAGCAATAGGGATGATAACAATAATAGAGGAAGAATTATTACCATATTTGTCTATTTAGATTTATCTATTAAAATGGATGTATCTTTTTCTTAGAGAAAAAGAAACTTGATTGTGAAGATAAGTGGGTCTCAGAAGTTGCTAAGCAAATAACTGCTTACTTTCTTTCCCTTTTGAGGATCATGCAGAAAATTATAGTAAGGAAATTCCAAACATCATCTCCTTCAAATAAGGGAAAGGTAATACGATAATTCTGTAGAAGTTGAGGGAATGAGCGATTATGCCCGTGTTCACACTCAACTCACAGTAGCCTCCTGATGTACAGATATTTCTCTTTTTCGGACTAATATTAAATTTCTAGGAAAGCATTCCTAAAGAGAACATTCTCAGTTAATATGCTGGGACTTACATGTCTGGTCTTTGACAGTCACTGGGCCCACAGTGGCTGAAGGTTTGCTGATTCCTGCAATGTTGACAGCCTTGACTCTGAATTCATATTCACCACCCTCAATGAGGTCTTCAACAGTAAATTCTAGTTCTTCCACATCACGCTTATTGCACTGTTTCCATGCCTCTTTCTTTTTCCCAGTAGGGTCCCATGCAAGGCACTCAACAATATAGTGGGTGACAGGGGAGCCCCCATCATTCTTTGGGGGTTTCCATGATAGGTGTACTGTGTTCTTTGTTATGAGGCCAATCTTGAGTTTAATGGGGGGATCAGGAGGATCTTTAAAAATAGGTAAAGGAAGGATTAAGAATTGTTTGTAATAATATATTTCAAATTTGAGAAACTATTTTAATCTCAGATTTAAAAAAAACTTACATATTGGATCTCTGGCCGTGGTCCTCTGAACGGTTTCCGCAGGCGCACCTACACCGAAACGGTTTTCTGCACGCACACGGAAGAAATACTGCTGTTCAGAGATGAGATCAGGAACCACAAATGTGGTGCTTCCACAGTTTGGATTGACTTTAGTCCAGGCTTTTCCATCAATAGTCTTCTTCTCTATAACATAACCTTTGATTCTGTCTCCTCCATCATCATCTGGCATCTTCCATGTGAGTCTGCAACTACCCCTTGTGATGTCACTGACTTTCAGATCTTTGGGTGGTCCTGGTACATCTGTTGGATGCAAGTCACCATATAAACAATGTCACTTTGTTTAAAATAATTTGTTCTTAGTCTGTGGTCACTTTTAAAGTCTCTCTTACCCATGACTTTGACTCTGCAATGTGCTGTCTTCTGTCCTGCTTTATTCTTGGCTGTGATGCTGTATTTACCCGAGTGAGATCGTTTGCATTCCGGAATTATAATTACTGATGAGTTTTCAGCAGTCTCCAGCTATACAAAGAAAACAGTAGTCATACATCAGATGCGATAAGAGCAGTACCACAGTCAACTATGTTCTGAATCACTTCAATTTTTTCTTTTTACCTGTGCATCCTCGGGTATATCATGAACTCCATCCTGTTAGAAAAGATCATTGTAGTGTTAATATTCCTTAGAGTGATTCAGTGGGAGACCCAGAAAATTATATTTTTCTTACCTTCACTGCCTTCTTTGCCTTTCCATCAAATTCCCACGATGATTTTGGTGTTGGGCGTCCCTTGATGACAGCAGGAATTCTAATTTGGGAGCCAGCTTGACAGACCAGAGAGTCTTGTGCTCCAATGTCAATAAAAACTTCTGGTACCTCTGCAATACCATGAATAATATAACAAGATTTAGCTTACTTTTTTCAAAAAAGTTAAGTGGCTTACCTTCGGGAAATTACTTTCATAATCAGATCAAATGAATACATAAATGCAGTAAAAGATGAGTACCTTGAATATCAGTGGCAGGGATCTCTCCAGTTGTATCACTTGGTTCAGATTCACCAGCTTCATTGACAGCTTTCACTCTGAATCTGTACTTGCGGAGTTCTTTCAGATTCGGCACCACACATTCACAGGTGGTTAGCAGTTTGTCTGGCTCATTTACTCTTTTCCAGTCAGTACTGCCTTCTTCTTGCATTTCTACGATGTATCCTTTGATTGGACTGCCACCATCTTTGGCTGGAGGTTTCCATGCTAGAGAGATGCTGGACTTTGTTTTATCTTTGACCTCTGGGCAAGAAGGTGGCCCAGGTGGATCTAAGAAGAAGAAGAAGAAGAAGAAGAAAAAGTATCAAATTTTGAAGCCAACGGAATGCCAGATTTAATCTACTAAATATTAAAGTAGGAAATCTGAAAGAATACCTTCCAGAGAAGAGAATATAAGAAATAGTCTCTTTTCATTTTGCATTAATGTGAAAACAAAATAAGCAAACAACTAACTGGGATTAAAAAGACTACACACGATCTCTAGGTAGATCTATATTGTATTTATACATAATTGGTGAAAAGCTATTTTAAGATCCCTTTAAAGAGACTCTGCAATATTCTCTACTAAAAACTTAATTTACCTTAAAATTAAAAACAAATGATTTCATCATTAGCTGGTAAACTTTGAACACAAACTAATGTATGCCCTTTAGGGATGAAGTCGATGCGTAACCATCCTGTACGTTCCTGAGAGTGCTTTACCATTATAGAAGTCTTTTGAACCCTCGCTCTTCCTCTCTGGTGCCTAGCACAGTTCCTTGCACATAGCACATGTTCAATACGAGCTTGCTGAATGAACAGTTCATTATATATATATATATGTACATATATATATATATGCTCCATATAGAACTTAGAGCATTTTAAATCTTTTTAACAAGTAGCTGAATTTTTTTTGACAGACTAATCAGATATATAGCAAATATAATTAATCATTAAGGCCATATTTTAATTTTTTAACTGATCTGCTAAATCTTTTGGAAGAATTTTTTTTTCTTTTATTTGACCTCATGGACTGTGCTTGAGACTCTTGTATCTTTGGTCAATATATATTATTGAAAAGTTAACATTTTTCCTTTCATTGAACTTCCAACTAGAGGGTCTCTTTAGGGAGGGAGATAATTTTCATAGTATCTAATGGGTTAGGGGTGTGGGAACAGAGAGGAGCTTATAGTCCAGGGTCTTTATCATTGTGATAGGCTTAAGCCAACAATTTAAAAACTATATGATTTTACATATGTGTATACATGTGTGTATGTATACACACATATAGCTATGTGTGTAGTGTGAATGTATATCTAAACGTATACACACATATATGTACTTCTGATACTCTAAGTATGGGGCTTTTACTTTAATAAATAATTTGGCATAAAAAATGTAAGAAATTTAAGAGCAGAATTATCCATTTAGTGGCTTGCTCTTTGTAAACTCCAGAAATGGAAGCATACTTACATATAGGATCTCCTGCAACAGCTGGATCTGATGGTTCACTGGGAGGACCAACTCCTGCAGCATTTATTGCCATTGCTCTGAACTGGTATTTAACACCTTCAATCAAGCGGGGAACGTTAAATTCCACATCTTTCAATCCCACTTTGGTTATTGGTGCTCGGCTAACACGTGACCAGTAGGCACCTCCCTCTTCTCTCTTCTCTAGCCAGTAGCCAGTAATTGGAGAGCCACCATTGTCCAGGGGAGGAGTCCAGCTCACTAGCATTGACCCTTTGGTGCGCTCCAGAACTTTTGGTTTTCCCGGAGGCCCAGGAAGGCGGAAGGGATCTTGAATGACAACTTTATCTGATTTGCAGTCATCACTGATTCCATATTTATTCACTGCCCTAACCCGGAACTCGTACTGACCATTGGGGATAAGTTTCCAGACCTAGAAATCAGATGAATAGTGATTTCTTAAAAACAACATACTTATGTTGATTTCACTTATTTTAAAATTCAAGTTCTTTTCCTAGGGAAGACTATAAAAAGAAATCTATTAAAATTACGTAAATATATAGTTTAAAAATACATAGACTCAAATGTGGAGAAAGCATATGCAAGTAATGAATCATTGAACACTACATAAAAAACTAATGTGTACTATATGTTGGCTAATTGAATTTAAATTAAAAAAATAAGAATATGTGTATTTATTGTACCTAATAGTGGATCTCTCAAAAGAGACTTGGTTTACCAAATAGTATTTACCACGTGGCCTTATGTGCATGGTGCTAGAAACTACGATAAATCTTTTTATGTGCAGTTTTGAGTTTAATCATTAAATTCCAAGGTTATGCCAGAATGGTGTTAATTCAGAGTCGTGTCCTTTTAATGTGTATAAGAAAACATTTAATTTACCCCATATTTCCTCTCTACAGCAGTGTTGGTGACTTCTTCCCATTCACTTTTCTTCCTGCTTGCATCACGTTTGTCAATGATATAATGGGTGATTTCACCGCCACCATTGTCTAGAGGGGCATCCCATGTCAAGTAGCAGGATTCAGCTTTAATATCCGTAACAGCAAGATTTCTTGGCGGTGATGGACGATCTGGAAAGGAACCCAGAGAGGAGAATGAGAAGACAATTCTTAGACACTGGACTTCGTTTTGAGCTAAGAAAGCAGGTCCCTTACCATATACTTCCACATGAACATTTCGGAACGCTGAGCCCAGGCGATTGGAAGCAGTAATGGTGTAAGTGCCCTTGTCTTCCCGGACTGCTTTGGGAATGATAATCTCGGTCTTTGCCTCACTTCGGGATACTTCTTCCTTGGTTATCTTAAGTGCATCAGTGGGTTTTTCGATCACAGTTTCATTCTTGGACCATTCAATCTTAGGCATTGGAAGGCCTGTCACATCTGCGGGGATGTTAACAGGCTCTCCTGCCTTAACTTTGATAGTGTCTCCTCGAACAGACAGGCGCAACTTAATAGTTGGAGGCACTGCAAAGAGAAGGGAAAGAAAAAAAAAAAGTCATGCTCAACCTATGAGATAAAGGCAGCAACATAAAGTGCACTAAAATCAGGCTTAGATTCCACACCTTCATCATCTTGTATGACCACATTAAGAGGCAGGGATGGTTCACTTTCCCCAATTGCATTGACAGCTTTGACGCGGAATTCATACATTTGGTGTTCATCAAGATCTTCAACCAGAAAAGATGTGGCTGGGCAGAGTCGCTTGTTAACTCTTTCAAAGTTGGGTTTGTCATGACGCCGTTTTTCAATGATATAGCCTTGGATGGGGCTGCCACCATTACTGCGGGGCTCTTTCCAGTCAAGGGTTATAGTGGACTTCGTCCTTTCTGTGTATGTGAGCCTCTCAGGAGATGTTGGAGGACCTTTAACCAGAGGCAAGTTGAAATGACAAGCATCAAATAAATATTCATGTAAGAGAGAGTATTTCACTTCAAATTAATTATGTGAAAAATAGGTTTCTGTTTGGCATAACCTTACATCCATCTTTAAAATCCTTCTGAAAACATATCAGTTACCAGAATGAGAGGCATTCATAATAGGCACAATTTTTCTTAGTAAGCTTTATAGTCAAAATTGTTGATTAAAAGTAAATTGAAGGGCATGTATGCTTTTGTTATTTTTACCACTTTTAGATCTTTTACACCTCTGTCACTGGGAAAGCTTCAAATCCTAATGAAGTAGAAGAGAAGGTTGTGAAGTTTTGCTTTGGATGACCAGCTGAGATCAAAGTGTTTCCTTTATTAACAGACAGTGGATAGGTCTCCTGAACAAACTTTGAACCAAATTGCCTCCAAGTGTGGGTTTAAAATGGAGTGGAAAGAGAATTTATGTAATGCTGCTGTAGTTTTGTGCCCAAAGGACAACACAAAGAATAAGTGTGAATGTTAAAACTAGACCTAATCCTCTCCTGTTGATTATTATTGCAACCAGAAGCTGAGCTTTGTGGTGGAAGCTCAGCTCTGTTCTGATACCTCTGGTACAACTTGACCTACAGCGGACATATTTGAGATGAGCTGTCACAGTGAGGATGTAATTTTATTTTTTGGTTGGTAGGGAGGTGATGGTGGAGGAGGAATAATGCCTCTGTTTCTTGGGGAATGGGTCATCCTCACAGATTTTGCTTTCTTGGATGGGGTGTCAGGATGCATTTCCAAGTATGTGCAATTTTAGGGTTTCACATTTGTTCCTATTGCTTAAGGAGATTTCCTTTGGTTAGATTTCTGTTCTCTGGTGGCTTTTCTGATTCTGGGTCTCCATATCCTTCCAGCGTGGAGACTACTTGAGGGCTAAAGGAAGACTAAGGCATTTATCATAAGGCTGTTGTCTATCCTGTAATCTTCCGAAAATAGTGAATTGCCTTTAACTACTAAAGTATTAAATGAATTACTCCAGTGCATTCTATTGCAGAGATGTAGTATTTCTATTTTTAGGTTATTGCTAAGCTTCAGTAGATTCAGGTTTTTCAGTACACAAAATCATGCATGGATTTGTGCAAACATTACAGTGAGCCACAAATTACATTGAAATTCTAGCAAGTACAGTATTCTTAAAGTTGCTAGTAGTTATTAGATTTACCTTTCTTATCACTCTCTAGCTATAGAACATGGGACTGTTGGGGAGTTCGAAGCCATAAGGCTCAATAAATGAATGACATAACTAGAAGCAAACACAAAGAAAACACAATGAAAACCTCTTTTACCTAGTGGATCAACTGCAAGAATTGGTCCTACTTCAACAGGAGGGCCACAGCCAAACTTGTTCTTGGCAATCACACGGAACATATATTCTTGCCCCTCAATGAGACCTGTGATGTCACATTTAGATCTCTCAGTCTCAATCGGTTGTCTCCAGGTATGCATCTTAGCATCTTTTCTTTCAATAATGAATCCTGTAATTTCACTTCCTCCATCATCAGCTGGATCAGACCAGTTAAGTAAACACATCTTTCTATTTGTTACAACAGGTTTTAAGTCAAGAACTGGTCCAGGAACATCTGAAAAATAATAATAAAAAAACCAACATAAAAATCAATGCGATAGATTGTATCACTTAGGAAAACCCTATGAAAATCCATGTAACATTCCTTACCAAAAACTTCTACCCTGGCTGCTGCAAATTTGGAACCAGAGCTATTGGTGGCTGTAATCACATATCTGCCATGATCTTTTCTCAATGCATTCTTGATAATTAGCTCAGATTTGGTTCCAACGTTCTCTATGACAACGCGGTCTTTATCCAGCTCCCCTTCTTCTATGGTCCATACTCTGGTAGGCACTGGACGACCAGTTACCACAGCTGGAATTCTAAGAGTCTTTCCAGCCATTATTTGTATTCCAGCTTTGATAGAAACATCTAGTTCCACAGTTGGAGGCTCTGTTTTAAAGAGAACAGTCATACGTTAGCCCAAGAAAGATGGGGAAAAAATCCCATACAAAGAAAATATCCATAATCTTATTCATGTAACTTTTAAGTTACCTTGTGGTTCAGCCACAGTAACAGGTCCTGTTTCTCCCGGTGGTCCTTCACCTGCAGCATTGACAGCACTCACTCGAAGTTTATAATCGGCGCCCTCTCGGATTTCTTTGACAGTATACTGACGGGCCTTGATCATCTTCTCTGTGCAGCGTGACCATTCATTTGTGCCAACCAGCTGCTTATCGACAAAGTAGCCAACAATTTCCCCACCGCCATTGAAAGCTGGGGGTTCCCATTCTAGATCAATAGTTGTAGAGCTTGTGTCAGTGACTCTTGGGACAGGTGGCCCTGGTGGAGCTAGAATGAATGCAGAGACACAAATGAGAACTCATTGAAGCTTTTAAAATGCACAATAACTTACTCTATCCACTTTTTCCAGAATGCATTGCATGTAATATGGGTAAGTACTGTCTTGTGAAACTTTTAAGTTGTATATACAGATATTTTTAAAACTTTACATTGTAACCTTAATATGTGTCTGTAGTCATTGTTAGTATTTTGCTTGCTTTTTTTTTTTTTCTAAGTCTAAGGTATACAACATAATGATTTGATACATATATTGTAAAATGATTGCCACACTGTTAGTTTATACCTCCATCCCCTTACATAATTATCCTTCTTTTGGTAGTGATAACATTCAAGATCCACTCTCTTAACAAATTTCAAGCATATAATATAGTACTTAATTAAGTGACTTAATTACAGTCACCATGCTGTACCCTACTCTCTTTGTAAGAAATTACTTACAGATTGGATCACGTGCTGTTTTGGGATCTGAAGGGGGACTGAACTTTCCAGGTCCAGCTGCATTTTCGGCACATACTCTGAAGACATAGGTGAGTCCTTCTAATAGGCCTTCTACATTGGTCTTCAAAGAATTCAGAAGGCTTCTGTTGACACGAGACCAATGTGTACTATTAACCTCACGTTTTTCAAGCCAATAGCCCAAGATGGGACTTCCATTATCTTTTGGTTCATTCCATTTCACTAGCATACTGTTGCTGGTTATATCTTCTACAATGGGCTTATCCGGTGCATCAGGTGGTTCTGATAAAAAAAAAAATTGCATATTTCAATTAGTTCCCTAGTATGATACAAAAATTCAAGTTCATAAGCTATGATAATGTATATACCCATGCATATCATAAAAAGGCAAAGTGTAGATGCTAAAAGAACCTTACCAAATGGATCTTTAGCTATAAGTGGCTTTGAAACACATGGTGGTCCAGGTCCAAACCTATTTTCAGCTCTTACACGAAAGAGGTACTCTTTTCCTTCAATTAGTTTTGTCACTGAGTGTTTGCAGTGTCTAAGTGTTGAAGTGACAGTAATCCACTCTGAGTCAGGTTTTGTCTTGTCTTTCTTTTCCAAAGTGTAGTTTATAATTTCACTGCCACCATCATCAAGGGGTGGTTCCCATTTACAGAGGACAGAGTTCTTTCTAATATCTTCAAATACAAAGTTGATTGGTGGTCCCGGTGTATCTGATATTTCAAAAGACAGCAGTGATTAAAAATTTGCAGAGAAGTAGTTGCAGTGGAAAATGTCAATGTCAGCATGCCCCTTTAACGTAAACTTCTGTTCTTCCTACATCTGTCTTTGTATCACATGAGCTAACCAACAACAAGTTTGGCTGATTTCATTTACATGGCTGGGAGGAAAAATGGGGCTGAGGATCCCTGGCTGAAGCTATTTTCTACTTCTTTTATCCCCCTTCCCCCTGGCCCAAACCCCTTTCTTATGTTTTACTAAAACTCTTATGGAGACTTTCTTCCATGGAGAAGTGTAGTTTTACTTACTTACCTAGCACACAGACAGTACAAGGAGCTTTGGCAATGCCGTGGTCATTTTCAGCTTTGATCATATACAGGCCATGGTCAGGTCGGAGAGAATCTCGGACGCGTAGCTGAGATTCTCCTTTTTTACTGTTGTCGATACTCAAACGTTCTGTCAGAGGCAGGACAAAAGGTTCTTCTTCTTCTTGAACTTCACCCCTCTTCCTCCTAACTGTGGGTGCTACTCGCTTCTTAATTTCTTCTGGGGTAATGACTTTTTCATCTTTTAGCCATGTAATAGTTGGGTAAGGTGACCCAGAGATGGTTGCATCAAGTGCTATTTCATCACCTCGTTTCACTTCAAGGCTTGTTCTCATAATGACCTTTGGGGCATCTGTTTAAAGATTAAAGATGGAAATTGCTTTCAATTGCGATCAAAACATTTGATAAAACATTATTCTCTTTTACTGTACACTGGGAAAATGGCAACTCCACGAAACAAAACTTACCAATAGGATCTACAGCTTTGGTGGGAGGAGTGGCCCGAGAAGGTTCACTAATGCCAGCAGCATTTTCTGCTCGCACTCGGAACTGGTATTCCTTTCCCTCTTCAAGTCCTTTTGCTGTATAGGTCAGGACTGGTACTAGGTGTTCATTGCACCTCTTCCATTTGTCTTCACCCTTAGCAATCTTTTCTATGATGTAGCCCATTATCTTGCTTCCTCCATCGTACAAAGGTGGCTTCCATGTAATAGTCATTGCCTTAGCTGTAGGATTATGAACCTCAACATCTACAGGTGGATCAGGGGGCTCTGAAGAATAAGAAAAAACTTAATATGTACGTGTATAATATAAACCCATCTTTGTAAAATAAAAAATTACATATTAATTCCTAGCTATATTATATCCATGCCCAAACTTACGCTTTGGATCTTGAGCAATGACTGGATTTTTCAGTTCAATATATTCGCCTCCACCAATCTTGTTGACAGCTTTAACACGGAAGAAGTATTCACCATTTGGTATGAGATCTTTTACAGTCCAAGACAGTTTGTTCTCACCAGACATGACTGGTATATATGTCCTTCTCCCAGCCTCTCTGCGTTCCAGGACATAATGAAGGATTGGGCTTCCACCATCGTATTCTGGAGGTTCCCATGTTAATTTACAGGAACTCTTGGTCACATCACTTGCTTTAATATCTTTGCATGGTCCAGGTAAGCCTATTAAAAAGATTATTATTGTTAAGATGAAAAGTCAACCTGTTATATAGTACACTCTTTTTCTAAGTGGGTCTATCCACATTTTTGGTGGGATAATCTTTGATGTATTGGCGTATTCCCCCCCCTTACACTGCAGGCCATTTAGCATCCTTGGATCCCAATTACTAAATGTCAGCAGCCCCCCTGAGTCTTTGTTCCAAGCAAAGTTGCCCCCCTCCCCGCACAAATTTTTTAAAACAGCCGCATGGGATGGGGTAGAAAATGTTACTGATCCTGGTGAAAACACTATGGACAAATGCAAATACAATTAACAAATGAATATTGGCAATTTAAACATTCTTTGGGTATACTCTATCTTTTATTTCATACTTAACATGCCAGTTAAGTACAGTTAATTACAACAGAAATAACTTAGTTTAATCAGAATTTAACTGGCAATTTCACCTCTATAATTGCTTTGCTTCTCACACAGGAAAGAAATCATCTGGAAGTAGCCAACTCATGAAACCCTTTATACTAACAGTGCAAAGTTAACTAATTTTCCTAACACATGAAGAAGAAAATCTGGTATTTCATCAAAGAATGATTACCTATGACTTTGACATTGATTGAGCCAGTTGCTGAGCCAAGCTTGTTTTCCAGCGTAATGGTATAAACTCCAGCATCTGCATGGACACTCTTGGGAACTTCAAGGTGTGCAGAGATGTGATCATTCTTCATTGTTAATCTGTCACTTGCTTTGACTTCTTTGCCATCTTTATGCCAACTAATGGTTGGAACCGGGACAGCTCTGAAGGGAACAGGAATGCTTAACTTTTCACCTTCAATAACCACAATGTCGTGAGTCTCCATATCAATTGTTGGCTTGCCTGTAAGATAGCCAAAAGAGGAGAAAAAGATATGTCAAAGTGCAATGTGTAAGCAAAGCCTGTTTTATTAATTATAAAGGAAACTCTATTCTTACAGTCTGGGTCTTTGGCAACCACATTTTCGGAGATTTCAGATGGCTCACTGACACCAACAGCATTGACGGCTCTCACTCTCAGAACGTACTCCTTGTCAGGAACAACACCTTCGTCAACTTTGAATTTCAGGTCTTTTATTGGGCGAGAATTAACTCGCATCCATTTCTCAGTGCCTACCGGACACATTTCAACATGGTATCCTATAATCGGACTTCCACCATTTTTCTCTGGAGGCTTCCAGGCAATGGCAATGTGCTTTCGCCCAGCGTCAGTCACATGCAAGTCAAGTGGAGGTGAAGGAGGACCTGAAAGAAGAGTGAAAAATTCACATCTGTGATCTCATCATCAAGCTCTAGACAGTATCCTTCGGATAACTGATACTACTTACTTTTTGGATCTTCAATTGCCAGGATTTCTGTGGGTTCACTTGGGTGACCAACTCCAGCTTCATTTTCTGCCCGAACTTGAAACTGGACCTCTGTTCCTTCAATGACATCAGTTACTCTGAAGTTACAGTCAGGTCCTGAGGTTTTTCCAGCTTTCACCCAACGGGTCCCTAACTTTTCTTTCTTCTCAATGATGTATCTATTGAAATAAAGCATTTCATTAGCATTAATAGGGAAAACAGGGAAGAATTTTTAGCGGAGTATAAATTATTCTTTGTGAATTAATTAAAATTCTACCTCTGTATTGGTCGTCCACCATCATTTTTCGGTGGTTCCCACTTCAGGTCAACATGTCGCTTGGTTACATCAACCACTGCCAGAGCATAGGGTGGACCAGGGGTGGCTAGAAGCAAAATATTCAATGGTTAGAAAAACCAGAGGGAAAAGTGATAATCTACTACAAATGGTGTCACAAAGATGAAGTTAGAGAACATACTAAAGGTGTCTTTGGCCAGGACAGAGTCCTCAATTTCACAGTAGTCACTTTGTCCTATGGCATTTTCTGCAGCAACTCGGAACACGTACAGAGAGCCCTCTGTCAGTGGGGTTACTGTGCACTTGGTGTCTTTGACAGTTGTGTCCACTGTTTGCCAGCCTTTTCGCCTCACGTCTCTCTTTTCCACAATGTAGTTGGTGATGGGGGACCCTCCATCTTTCTCAGGAACTGTCCACTTGAGGTCTGCTGTATTTTTTGTGATATTAATAACTTCAAGCCAGCGAGGTGGTGATGGAGGATCTAAGGAAGAAAAAGAGAATTCAATTTTTTTATTGTCCAATATTCATTCAGTCTTCACTGAATTCTCTTGTCACCAGGAAATCACATATAGCAAGGATGAAATAATCTAGTGATGAGGTTTTCATTTTTCTCATATTGTAGTTCTCATTTATACTTTAGAAGAATTTATATACCTTAAACATCAAGAGTGACTTACATAGTTTTTCCCTGCAAAGCACAGGGTCACTGGGTTCACTGGGCTCACTTTCCCCAGCCTTGTTCACAGCTCTAACTCGGAATGAGTATTCCTGCCCTTCCATGAGACCGGTGAGCAAATGCTGAGTGGTGGGAACACCTTCAGCCACTCGGACCCAGTCATCTGTTCCGGTCTTTAGCATTTCAATGATATAAGACTCAATCTTTGCCCCTCCATCATGTTCTGGCTTTGTCCAATTCAACATCAATGATGTTTTGCCTACATCTTTCACAGTTGGTTTTCCAGGAGGCCATGGTGGATCTGCAAACCAATGAAATAAAACAATTATTTAGGTTTGTCAAAAAAGGAATTAATGGAAGCTTCAAAATAACCACCGAAAGATATATAAATAATACCTATGGGATCCTTTATTAAGATTGGTTCAGTTGATCTACTTGGTTTTCCAGGTCCAGCAAGATTTTCAGCCAACACACGGAATCTGTATTTTTTCTTATTGGTGAGACCTTTCACTCTGAATTAGGAACAGAGTATGAATTGGATACCATGATCAGCAGAAACCTCTGTGTACTTTACACAGAAGGGGATAATTTGTTTAAATTGTAAAAAACTGATACCGAAATTTAACTGAAATTATTTCATTATAAATTTAGATTTGGTCAAATGTACCAATGTAATTATAGTATCTATAATAGTGATCATTCTCATAACATACTGGAAGACCACTTTGCAACTCACAGAAAGCCAATATTTTATAGTAAAGAAATTAAGAAATGTGTCCTTGAATGGAATTTATATCATTTTTGAAATTATGTGGTAACACAAAATATAAAAATAATTTAAAATTTTATGGTAATATATAAGAATGTATATCAAAAGGAATGCTAAAGAATAAAAAATCATATATACTGCTATCTTAACATCTTGATGGAGATATTGGACATACCTATATGTTGTGTCCTTTACTGGCATCTTATTGCATCTGACCCATTTATCAGTATCAGGATCTAATCTTTCAACCCAGTATCCAGTGATTGGGCTGCCACCATCATCGTCTGGCTCACACCATGTGAGAGTAACTGCATCTTTAGTTATATCAGAAGGTTCTAGGCGAGTTGGAGGTCCAGGTGGATCTATAGGCAGGATAATGATATAAGTGTTACATGTCCTATATATAAATATGACACCCAAATCCAAGTTTGACACAAGAATCTTTTTAAAAAAATTTTGGCCAATGGATTAATGAGAAACTTACCAAACTGAAATTTAGCTGTTATTGGAGAGGCCTGAACTGGTTCACCAACACCATACATGTTTTCGGCAGCAACTCTGAAGATGTACTCTTTGTTGGGTGTTAGTTTGGTTGCCTTGTAGTTTGTATCCTTGACAGTTGATGAGAGCTTGTGCCATACTTCACTGTCAGTCGCTCTTCTCTCCACAACATAGTTTGTGATTTTAGATCCACCATCATCACGTGGTGGGTTCCATGTTAGAAGGCATGATTCATTGGTCACTTCTGTGATGTCAAAAGCGGCTGGTGGTCCAGGTTTGTCTGTGGAGGACATTACACACTCAGGAAAAAAAAATTTTTTTTTTACATCCTGTTTGATTTTAAAAAGTAACTGCAATGAGTTTGCCCAGTTTTGAAATGACAGCCTCACTCACCTAAGACGTTCACTTCCACCACCGCAGTGGCCCGACCACAGACATTCACAGCCTCTATGATGTATGTGCCGGTGTCACTTCTCTTACTATCCATGATAGTCACTGTGGATTTCTTAGGAACATTTTCAATGGTGATTCTTTTGTCCTGCTTCAGAAGCTTATCGGCCTTTGTCCAAGTTATTTTAGGTTCAGGTTTTCCAGTTACAGTGGCAGGAAGTTCGATCTTAGTTCCTGCTTTTACAGTGAGACCAGCGAGGAGCTTCACATCGAGGAAAATTTCTGGAGCCTCTAAAATTGGAAAAGATTATTTACGATGTTAGCAAGTTCAAAAGAATTAAAGGCAGAGGCCTGGTTAATAACACAAAACCCCAACATACGTACCCTGTGTATCCACAGCCTGGATTTCATCTGTGGGTTTGCTTGGTTTGCTAGGGCCTTGCCTGTTCAAGGCCTTCACGCGGTAGGCATACCATTTGCCTTCTTCAAGACCTGTCACTTCCATTCTATCAGAAAACAAAATAGGATATTTTACTATAATGCACATAATCTGTAGTATTCATAATCTTTCTAAAATTCATACCTACTCTTGATAGAATACTACTCCTTAAATTAATTCTGGATTGCTTCAGTATTGTAACTAATGAAAACCTTGGAAGGGGGATAAGTTCAGCAGCACTTTTAAAAATTGGACAGGCACACCAGGGGAATTCTCAGTGAAAAAAAAGTAACAGATTTTCCAAAAGAAAAACACTCATTTTAGTGGGTAAGATGAAACATTTACTCGTGTGCCATAATTATATTTATGAAATAACTATAAAATAATATATATAAAATATAGATATTAAGTATAAATGTAAAATAAAATAGAAAACAAATATAAATTATATTTTTATATAATTATACTTATAAAATTATAAAATTAAAATATAAATATAAAATAAATATAAAAATAATAATTCTAAAAACCTACTTTGTTTCTGCAACTGGTTCTCCACAGGCAACCCATCGATCAGAGCCACGTGGACATTTTTCAACTATATAGCCTGTGATGCGTGAACCACCATCATGCTTAGGTGGATCCCATGTTAGGAAGATGCTGTCGGCTGTTCGATCCCTCCATTTAACATTCTCTGGTGGGTCAGGTACCGCTATAAACATTTTAAAGAGAGTCAGTCTTAGATAGGTCAGCTATGAAATCTCCATATTGCCAACCCGTGCCTTTCCCCCATAACTTCAACTCCAGGTATTAAAGCAAAAATGGTAATAAAAGGCTAGATAAGAAATCAAGAATGTACTCACTTGCAGGAACTGACATATTTACAGGTTCATCAATATATGCAGGTTCTCCAGGGCCACATTTGTTACGAGCACAGACTTTAAATAAATACTCTTTTCCTTGAACAAGATCAGGAACTGTGAATTCTAGGTCAGTCACAGTGTCTATAACCTGGGACAAAGAAATACAATTACTTGTTTCCAAAAAACGCTTTCCCTGAGTCAAAAAGATTTTTATCATGAGCAGGGAGGGATACAAATAGAAATTGTTTTTGAATGATAAAGATTATTTCACATTAGGGAAAAAGTTGCAGGGGAAACATAATATTTAAACCTTACTATATTAAGGTGAAAATTTCATAGTCTATACACATTAAAAAGGTGGCAAAAAAGTATTGATTCTTTTCGCTAGGTTGGTTATTAGAAACATGATTTTAAAGTTTTTTTTTTTTTTTTAGCGCTCACAAGAGCATGAGCAGGGGGAGGGGCAAAGGGAAAGCAAAAAGCAGGCTCCCTGCTGAGCAGGGAGCCCAATGCTGGGCTCCATCCCAGTACCCTGGGATCATGACCTGAGCCGAAGACAGATGCTTAACTGACTGAGCCACTTAGGTGCCCCTAGAGATATGGTTCTAAATCAAGGTAAAAAACAATAATGAGTAATGAGTAAATAACAGTAATAAACTTAGGAGAAAAAAATGGTAGATTGGGCCAACTAAAATAATCTAGTGGAGTGAGAAGTCTGACCACCAGGGAATCAGGTACTTAGTGTCCTTAGAATCGCTTATAGCTTAATAGGCCATATTGGGTACTTATCAGGTACCAAATGAATAGGTTATTTTTTTGTAAACTTAGGAGAAAATTTGGTAAGGCACAAAATAAGGCAATTATACCAAATCTTGGTTGAACTACCTCACAGGAAGCATCAGCATCAAGGCATCTAAAAAACGTTTTGGTTCTTTTTCAGCAAGGCAAAGTGAAACCATATAAACTTTGCATGGCATCCCAGCATGCTGGGCTTTCCCCCGCTCTTTTTCTCTGGAGTTGGTGCATTGCTGCTCAAAACTCACTTTAGTCCATGTTTTCCGGCTGACTTCTCGCTTTTCAACAATGTATCCAGTTAATGGACTTCCTCCGTCATCATCTGGTGGTTCCCAAGTCAAATGTACTGAGTCTCTGGTTATGTCACTAAATTTCAGTTCTTTGGGTGCACTTGGGCGAGCTGAGAAAATGCAGTCAGAAATCAATATAGGTAATAGCTTGAACCAATATTTGTTAATACTGTCAAATCACCTTTTATAACA